ATTGATCTACATAACTATTAATTAGAGGAACGCAAAATAAATTTCAATTAATTCGAGACTATAATTTTTGTGATTTGAACTGAAATCATCATAATAAAAGTAGTGGCAGCTAACGAAATTGCTAATTCAAATAACATTATAAAAATTCTCTATTAGAGTTCGAAATATTTTTTGTCCATTACTGATGTTCACCAGACATAATTTCTTTGAAATAATACTTATACAAACAAACTTAAATTCAATTACATATTTTATCCAAGTTTTGGATCAACCTGTTCTATCCTACTAGAACAGAGTGAAAATGTATGTTGAATAGATAAATATTTATAGTTTTTTAAAATTTGCCAAGAGAATAAATGAATGGTTTACAAATTGATTTAGGTTAAAACCAATGATTAAATGCATAATTTCTTTTTAAATGACGAATAATTTTTTACTTCGAGGGTATCTTCCACTTCGAATTTTCATAATAATTTTATTGCTCTTCCTATTTTATTGCTGTGTCATAGGTATGATTTTATCTGGCCATTGCTAATTGTGTATTCAGAATAAGTGATCGTGATAATTAGCACTTGGTAAATTCCACTCTATAGCATCTAAATTAGGTAGTCATAATTCTATAAATCTAATGCAATAATATGACGTCAAACACTTATGTTTTGGATCATTTTATTTTCATTTATAGTTATTTTCTGAATATTCCCAAAATCATTTATAGCCATTTCATAAATTTTACTACTAGTTCTTATTATAACTAATACCGAGCTTTGGCTTGGAACCATTTATTTTTCTTTGTGAAATGTTGGTCCAAAATATTTCATTTGATATAAATTCTTCATAAAGCTTATGAAGCCTGACTGAATAAATAAATTACTAGAAATATATACAAAAATAGATTTTTATAGGTTTTTCATTAGTTTCTTTATTCTATGCGTATAACAAACATACAATATCGAAAATGTGAATAGATTTAATTAGAATTTGATCTCGTATGGCGGAAGAAGATTGATGATAGACAATTCTTAGTATTAGATCATAGATCTTTGTTTTGCATATTTAATTTGCGTCAATACTAATTTAAACATGAATTTAGTTCGAGCTCTAAGTTCTGGTTAATTTTGAACCGTACATTCAATGCGTCAAACTGGCGCCTTTTATCTTGAATATTTTTTATATCAATTTCGTTCTGTTTGTCATAAATAAGAAGTGGGTTTCCCGATTCTTCCAGGTTAATCCTATGATGTCGGTTTCTTTTTTGAGAAAAGGTAATGCCAATGAGGCTTTCTGCAACGGCCAAAAAATATGTCCAGTTCATAAAAAATATGAACCATTCATTTGTAATCTCATCCTTGTGGTTTGCCGATTTATCGACGTAATTTATTTTATAGGAATTTTATTACACCGACAACAGGAAATAATTACATGCCATCGATTTCGTTTTGGGAAATTCCTTTAATAAATGTTTCTGTATTTATTATTTCCGGGGAGAATTTGCGATTTTTATGAACCATTCAAAATATCGTCCGATCCTGAAATTTCGGTACGAATATATTTATTTCTTCAATTACAGTTAAATAAAGAAAACTTAATAAATAATGTTTTTATTTAGAGACAAACTACAATAGTACATTCTATTTTAATGTTGAGGTGATGTCATAATTATCTTCCAAATATACATTGTTACCCCCAGAATTATTCATTATTTATGAGTTGGTTTTTGATCCATTTAGAGATTCTATCAAATTTTAATAACTTTCAAAAGTAGTTAAAATTGCGTTTCAAGTGGCAATTCTAATCAGTTTTTTTAAACAAATATATCTTTAGATCCACTGATTATATTTCTACTAATTAAAGCTAGACAGATGCTTAAACTATTCATCTACCGAATCAAGTAAAATAATTCCAAAACTATTGTTCATTATAACACCACAATTTTCTACAAAAAGTGTGGTGTTATATATAACTTACCCCGTTTTTGAGGCAAGTAGAAACGACCAAAACCACAATAATGTCTCAGATAATTTATTCTCAACATTATAAAAAAAAAAAATAATATATATATATAATATATATAACACTTAAAATTTGCGATAATAAGAATGCAGCCTAATTTTATGTTAGATCAATCTTATATCACCTATCAAAAATGACGCACCTGCACAATTCTGTTTACTGCATCGGCTTGTGGGACAGTAGCTATTATGACAATATTATGCAGGGCGGTTTTATCGAGACAAAAAGGTATTTTAATATGGTTTAGGATCCTATTGTTACTATTTACCCTTTTACAATAAGCCGGCACTCCTATATAATTCGTAGATGTACTTATTTAAAAAAAAAACTAGGCAACTTCTGCAATGGGCATATTTGCTTACTATTCTAGTCTTAAATGTAATCAACTCATGTTGACTTGACATCAAACTAGGTTAAAACAATTAGTTTGCAGTACTTTCCTTACATTTTGCATAGATATATTTAATTAAAAGGCATGATTTTCTACATGAACGAACAAAAAACATGTTACATTTCACCCATTCATACTTCTTTTAAATTTTTACGTCTCTACTATATATTTATGCTTGCCTTAGATAACAAAAAATTATTCAACTGACCTGGAACATTTAATTAGTTTGTTATACTTAAACCTGTACATCATGTGATCCGTACCATAGCACTTTCGTGTAAAAAGTTTTTCGACGACAAAAGCACATTAAGTTTGCATCCGGGGCAGATATCGTTCGAAATTACCGCTCTCCGACACTGATGTCCACAATTCACAACACAAGGTAAAATATTTAGTGATATATAGTATTTTAATATCACAAGGTTAGATCATTCAATGGTAAAACATTTAGTGATAAATAGTATTTAATATCACCAGGTTAGATCATTCAATGGTAAAACATTTAGTGATAAATAGTATTAAATATCACCAGGTTAGATTATTCAATGTTTTGAATAAAAACTAGTGCAATTATAAGGTCACCAAGTCCATGTCCTCAAAGTCACCACTTGTAATGGATTTAGTTAGTGAATATTAGTAAGGCTATCATTTTAATCTGTAAAATTGAATAAAATTACAAAATTTCACTGATCCTTGAGAATTGTTAAGTAGATAGATGAATTTTGATTGAAATATTTTGTTAATCTATTAATAGAATGTGTCAGACTGCAAGTAGTGTGCGATTATCTTGTTAGCGTGTTCAAAAACACCGGTAATGGTTGTGAAGCGTCTCCTGATCTAGTTAGAATATATTAAATTAAATGCTTCAAGAAACATTAATCAGGTTATAAGTGATATATCATAGAACTTATAGAAAAAGTGTGGTATTCGAAAATATATCGGTCACTCGATGAGAGCTCCTAAGTGATAAAATTCGTCGCCATGTTGAATTCCGTAACGCTGGACAGGATGTGACTCATTAGAGACATTGCCGCTCTGCAGCGGAATACATGATTTTTGGCACAATTGTCTAACACAGTGGCACATGATGGCACTTTTTCACGTTGCTGGGTTGCACAGATTCTCATATGGTCTTAATAACGTCATTTCGGCACGCTTTTTGCGATTGACGCACGACCGGGCACGCGTTTGCTTTTATGACCACGTCGCACTGTTAACCGACATTTTACAGTCTGCGCTTCATGCGCCCGCCGCGACAGCACCGAGATTCACTTGCTGCGGTCCTCCGAGCTGCAACGCGCCTCGCAAAGTGTGCATCGCGATAGAAGACATAAAACTTCAATGAAACTTATATAATAATTATATCAGTAATAATTAACGATTATTTATTTTATTATTAACTTTCCGCAGAGTAAGTTATTGTAATCGTCCAAAATGATATTGA